AGCATATAATAACTTCTATGATTTTACATGTGATAAATCTTCTTGTGGTGACTTTACTAATGTCTTGAACTTCTTTGTGAAGGATTATCAAATGAGGAACCATAAGAGAGATAGATGCCTGAAGCTACCATTTGTGCCAATAAAAGGTTCTGAATTTTTAATGCTTATCCATGGCAAGAATGGTATGTTTGATTGGTAGTGCTTATTTTGGGGATTCCTAAAGCCATGGAGGTAATTGGCTATTCCTTTCACTTTAGTAGTAGCAACTTTATACTTATTGACCATGATTTGTTGATGTTGCTATTATATTTATGTTGTGAGTTTCCAAGTGGCCAACTTACAAATGATTTGGGGATAATATTTTTGTATGATCTTGTTGATTTACTCTATGATTTTGGTTTGGAATTGAGAAAAATGCCCATTATTTTATTGGGAGAAGTGTTCTTTGTTGATCTTAAAGATGTTTGGTTATACTTCAAAAGTGTTCACTTTGATGCATGTGGTAGATGTCGTTGGATTAAAATGGTGCATGAGTCTTATTGTGAGGTGTCTTTACCATGCACAATTTTTTGTAAGCAAGAAGTGCTTGATGTTTTGTTTCTTTGTGCTAATAAGTTTTTATGGAAACTTGAGCTTGATTATTTTGACTCTTGGCATGAAGTGAATCTGAATAATAAGCGAGTTGGTAGATCTAAATATGCTTTATATATGTGGTATACTTCTATGTTTGGACTACCTAAATCAAATTCCTTGTATGTTAAGCTTATGAGTACTATACATTGTGCTTACTTGGGAGATTCTATGACTCCATGTGATGATGTTTTGTACGTGATTTTTAGAGAAGTCTTTGTGCCTATAAGGAAGAATTGGGTCAAAAGAATGCAAGGGCACTTTCTTGTTTTATCATTACCGTGCATATATTTGCCTCTTGATGAGTTTATACTTGTTCTCATTCCTTTCTATGTTATGCAAGGTTCAAATTCGAGGATGAATTCTTTCAAGCAGGGGAGGATGATACGGCCCAAGATAGCCAACATGCGCTCTAGATGTCAATTGATTGCTACTTTCGCAATTGGAGGCTATGTGTGTAATTTTTTATCAATTGAAGACTATATGTAATTGAGGCTATACTTGTAATAAGTGACTCCAGTTAGTTCCTTAGAATTAGCTTGGGGTATTTGGGTCATTTGTAGTCAAATACCCATTTAACTATAAATAGCCTTTAAGGCTTTCATTTTAGGAGATCAATTTTGATGAATGATGAGTTCTCTCTTGAGAGGTGTAATGGTGATTTGCAATTATTGATGACAACTTTATCCAAGGTGTATTCTTCAAGTGGAATCACACTTCCACTTGAAGGTATTTCTGTAGTTTAGGTTCACTTAGTTATGTAATTGTTAGGTGATTGATTATTTAAATTATTTTGCCATTACTACCTTGTTGGGTCTATTCTCAAATTCTATACTTTATCTTTAATTTCTTATCTTTCACATTTAGATTCGTATCACTAGCTTTTGGCACTTTGTTGTCAACCTGAGCTGCTACCTTATCTTTGGCAATTTGACTGTCGTCACCCCCGAATTCTTTGTGACAGTTTGAACAACTTCTCCTCGTTATGTGTTGGGGACAAAAGCATACGTAAGTATATGCGGTCGATAAGTAATAAAGTAATAAATATAGTATCGTTAATACGAGGACTTGTTATTAACTATTAACTAGATTAAATAATTCTAATTATCTAAACAAGAATTAAAATCAAAAGTATTTGATTCGAAACTAACTAAATAGAAAGAAAATAACTAATGAACTCTAAGCAAAGGAAGAGCAAAATTTGGTATTATCAATCAAAACGATCTAGGGCTATGAGCTATCTAATAATCCTTTGTATTTTTCACTTGACTTGACTAATAATTTATCTGGTTTATTAACTATCAATATTAGTATTGCTCATAGGAATTTGTTGAGATCGTACTCACCTGTTCAAGCTAACCTAACGCCTATATGTCTTTGTATATATCCTAATCGTGACTCTGTTCCCCGATGCATAGGTTCAAGAACTTGCTCTACACAATCCTATGTACAATCTAGAATTCTCAATTTCGAGTTTAATTCTAAATTCTTAGATAGTATTCAATTGGTGATTCAAATAATTAAGCGTATGATTAAATAAATAAACTAGTATGATAAATCAAGATACCAAAATCAATATTCAAATAATAATAGTCACGAAAGAACCACAACCCTAAAACGTGAAGTTTCGTTCAATGTAGGCATGGTAGCCAAACAACAAATTATCCAAAGAACTATCAAAACTATTCCCTCTATTTTAAAAAGATTGGTATTATTGCTTATTGGTCTGTTTCAAAAAGATTGACACCTTTCAGTATTTTTTAATAGGAAGCTTTTATGCCACAAAAATATTACGGCAGGTTTAAGACGAACAACAAAAAACCCAGTAACTTCCCACAAGTGGGGCCTGGGGAACGTAGTGTGTACGCAGACCTTACACCTACCCTGGGAAGACAAAGAGGTTATTTTCAATAGACCCTCGGCAAGCTTAAGACTATAAGTTTCAAAGGTTTTACTATCACAAAAATGTTATACCTTATTTAAGACTACATATCTCAAAAATCTTTCCTTCTTTATTAAAGTTTGTGTCAAGTCCAACTAGGGCAATCTTTTTTAATTGGAGGGAGTACTAAGTTTGGCGGAACAAAATATAAAATCCGATGAACTCTGGCCTCCACAGCAGCTCCTCGCTCTTCCTAGGTCAAAAGTTGTATAAAAATTATGTTTAATAACTATTTATAGGTGTACGAAAAAAGTCTAGATAAAACAACCAATTCCAAAATTAAAAAAGAGATGAAATAGCCTTGGAAACAGACACGGCCACGGCGTGGAAAGCATCAGCCTTTCCCGCGTTTGGCATCACCTCGCTGCCTGGTTCGCGATTGAAATGGGCAGCCACACGATGAAATGTGGTCGTAGAACTGAAGCTTCAATTTTTGGGAAATTTTTGTATCTTGATTTGCTGCCACGTATATAACACTTTCAATACCAATTCATATTTGTATGTCTTTAATTAAGTCTGTTTACCTTGAAAATGTTATTAATAATTATATTTGATTTTGTGGTTCAAAAAATACGTGATTTATTTCGATACTAGTTGTTTAGGCAATAGATGCTAAGTGTAAGTAAAAAGAATAAGATATGCAAACCAAAATTATCGCAAGACTGAGCCTCGAGCTGATTGGGACAGGGGTTTCGAGGTCCAGCTAGGGTAGTTAGCAATGAACGATTGATGGAGAAAAAATGATAATGGAGGCCTCAAAGATAGCCTTTTGCGGTTAATAATGAGAAATAAATGAAGAACAATAAATGAACAATAAATGAACGAGCAATAAATCCATAGAATAACTGTTGAACTCGGTTAGGCAAGCAGAGAATATTCTATTGTATTCAATATTCGTGTCTGTTACAAAATGACAAGGGTCCCCTTTATATAGGAGGGACGAATCCCAACGTGGCACATTCCTAATAATGACGAGGAAATGCTATTTGTACAGCTGTATAATGACTCAGTACGGGTTTGTACTATTCTTGCAAACCTGGTTAGCTTAAACCACGTGCTCTTGGGAGCTTTCCCGCCTTTCCATGACACATCTATTTGTACTGCTCCGAGATTGACCTTCGATATGCTCCCTCGAGGGACGTACCTCGAGGTCACAGTTCAAATTCTACTTCGATCTTCTCGATGTCAGGGGTGAAACGCCATAGAAGCCTTGAAATCTGCCTTCCCTGATTTTGACTGTATACAGATAGTCCCCGCGTTTCTTAGAATGAAATGATAAGAAACGATCTTGAGTTCTCGCCTCTTCGATACCCCCATTGTGATATCAACCGCGTGAGATCATTAAATGATGTGACAGAAAAGTTGTACAGGGGTCTTGTCAACACGGTTCTCGAAAAGCTTTAAATCGAAAACGGCGGTCGACCGTCCTTTTACCTTCTCCACATGCATGACTTATCCCTATAAACTCCACAACCCTTCGTTCCTTAAACCTTTACCCTTCACAACATCTTCTGATCTTTAGAAACTATGTTTATACGCTCACTTCTTCCTCGTGTTCATCTCTCAACCAATTTCTTCTTCTCCTTCTGAGACGTTATAGCAAAAATGGCAACAACCTCTAAAACTGTTCCAAAAAGGAGAAATCCCATTCGTCATCACGCTCGTTTAAGAGCAAAACGGTAGTACCACCTTGCATTGATGAGTGTATTCCCGGGCCTTGTGATACATCTTCTGATTTCCATGTCGAAAAACCTTCCTCTGTTCCGGGACGATGTGAACCCATGTCTCGATACATAAGCCTAATAACTAAAAACGAGAACGCGAAGGCTGACTGTTGTTAGGGGGAGGCGGTGCAAACAGAGATTCCTTCACGTGAAGAAGACATAACCAAGCACAAAGCCGGTTTCCTCAGTGTATATATATATCCTTTTACCTTAGGCCCGGTAGAAGCCTCTTCGCCACCGATAGACCCAATGATCCTCGATTTATACAGACAATATCGGGTGACGCTTGGACAAATCTATCCATCATTCTGGCGCATCGTTTATTTGATTATGTATTCTCTAACATGGTCGAGGGGATTCCTTTCACCTTTGATCATCCGATTAGACTTTATAGCCCCCGACTTTATCGAGGTGGCCTCGTTAAGATAAAGCGTCGATCCCCGAAGGCCTTTTTCGCTAGAATCGATGAGGACATGGACCGAGGGTGGATAAGCTGTCGAATGGTACCCTGGTGCTGTCAAGGATCTCTCGGGTTGGGTTCGACAACTCGATTCGATCTGCCCATATGTTAAGCGCATGTGGTGTGATCTGACTAAGACCCGTTGGGAGGCCAAAAACCATGGTGAGTTTTTATTTCTGTCATACTTGAGCTCCTTAGAAAAGATATCTCTCGATAGTACTCTCATCCTTTGTGCCTATGCAAGCCTTGGAGAGGCCTTTTGATGAGGGAACCCTCGCCTGGGGAAGTAGATACCCCGAAGCCTGCTAAGGAGAAAAAGAGGAAGAAGAAATCACCAGCTGAGTCCTCGAAGCCAAAAAAGGCTAAAGTTCAAAAGCCTAAGGTCGATTCAGCGGCCTTAACTTCGGAAGCAGCAGAGAGCCCCCGAGCTGGGGGAAAAGAGAAAGATGACTTCCCGCTAGCACCTGGGGCAAGCACGTCTGCTTCAGATCTTGCTGAGCCGATGGCTGTTGAGCCCAAGGCTTCCAAACCAGAAGTTGCTGATGTTATCCCACCTCGGGCCGATGAGGCTCTCGAGGGTGGGTCAGATGATGCCTCTGAGTCGGTCGACAGCCAAAAAATTTCCCGAGTTGCGGGGTGCTCGATAGATGAGTTAGAGGACCCCAGCTCTGAGGTTCCCATGAGGCATGAGAAGGCCTCGATCGATCCAGCCGGAGTTATTGATGTGGGTAACTCTCCGCCGGGTCCGGCATCCTCTCCGAGGAAGATACGGGATGCCCATAATAGAGGGACTTCCGATGCGGGGGCATCCCTCGAGGAGAATGACGTATTTAAAGGATTGTTCATTGGGGTCGAATAAAACCCCGAGCTTGACACGTCGCTCGTTTTCGAGGAAGCAGGGAGGCTACGCAAACAGGTAATCTTTCGTCGACTATGCTCTGAGCTTCGATCCTCATCTTCCTGATTTTGTTATTTCATGCTTTCAGGCTGTAGTGCTTTACAATCGGGCCTTTGCTAAGTCCTAAGCTGAGTTCACCCGCTATGATAAAGAGTGTAGGAAGCTCTCATCACAGGTTGACGAGCTCAAAGCTCTTTTTACCAAAAGGGAGGAAGAACTTCATGACCTTCGGGCTCGTTTGGATACGGTATCTCGATAGCGGACCGATCTTGCTGAGCAGGTAATACAGTCTTCGTATGTTTTTATTTTCATGCTTGTCCGGCTTTAGCATTTAACACTTTTGGGGTCGATTTTTGCAGCTTGAGAAGAAAGATTCCCTGATGAGGGAGGGGCTCAGAGCCAGGGATATTGAGATTCTCGGACTCAAGCAGCGTGTGGACGAGATGGCCTCTGAGAGAGACACCCTCCAAGGGAAGTTGACCTCGGTTGAGCATCATCTTCAGGATGCAAGGGCGGATAGTAGTAAGTATAAGGATCTTCATGCCGAATTGGTCGCCGCGCTATCTGTAGCCAAGTCCGAAGCTGATGCGCTCATATCCTCGTACCGAGAAGATGCTGCTGCCGCAAATGCTCAAGCTAGGAATGTATCTGAAGATGCCGATCTTGAACTGACCCGAGCCTTGGAACATGCCCGATTAAGATCTTAGAGACAGGCTCTCGAGGATGTACATGTAGGGGGAATCGATTTATCTGCTGAGATCGAGAGGGTGAAGGCCCTAGAGGAAGAATCGACAGTTCTGCTTTCTTTCGATGATGATTCAGCCAGTGGTTCGGCCAGTGGCTTGGAGGATGATGAAAATGAAGGTGAAGTCCCCGAGGGGGAGGAGGCCATTAACATTCCGGGGGTCGAGGGCCAAGCCGTTGAAGGCTCGACTTCTGAGGGAGCTCCGTCTGGTCAAGTGACCCCAGCGGTAGATTAGGTTTTTATTGTTCCCTTTTTTTATGTGTAAGGGCTCCAGTGTGAGCCTTGCGAATATGTCTTTGCGAACCTTTATTATATAAGGATATTTGTGTTTCATCATTTATTGTCTTCCCTTTACCTTTTTGGAATGAATTTTGATGCTTGTCGATGACCAGTCTGATGTGTTGGACTCTAAGATAGGAACCCTTAGGTCGTGTCTGGTGAGTAATTGATAATAGTTGACCGTTTAGGGCTCGGTCCTCGAATCAAGTTTTGACTCGGGCTCATTGACCCTTAGGTTTTCAACATATTGGCCCTTAGGATTTTTAGCTCGGCCTTGAGGTTCTTTAGATTGGCCCTGAGGCTCTTTGGGCTGGTCTTTAGGCTCTTACGCATTGGCCCTTAGGCTCTTTAGGCTGGCCCTTAGGCTCTTACACATTGGCCCTTAGGCTCTTTTTAGATTAGGTCGATGCGACCTCTAATATGGCTATGGTTTTCCCTCATTTTGGCTAAAGACTTTTGAAATGCTGATTATGCCTTGGCATGTTTTATGTTCGTCCGAATCTTCGACGGCTCAAACGAGAACCTCGATTATGAGTCGATGCGTGACGATAACTAAGTACCTCGGGAGGTTTGCTCGAAGGCTGAGTTTTCGAAGCATTTTTATTGTTCGGAGTTGATATTATCGATGCTCCTTTGCTTATGCCGAGGGTAGCCTGATTAACTGGTTCTTTTCGAAGTATTTGAAGGCCTTTACTTTTATGGTGACAATCGGACGTCTCCGAGCTGCGTTAATTCGGCCGTAGACTTTTAGTTCGACCGTAGTCTTTATGTTTGGCCATAGCCTTTAGTCCCCAGGTGCGGTGACCTTGGCGTCTATATCGAGGGTATGCCTTTTTAAGGGTCTTACAAGTTCGAATATATAGCCTTGGCCTTAATATCGGGGTTATGCCTTTTTAAGGTCTTATAAATTTGAGTATGCCATGTTGAGGTCTTATAAGCTCGGTATTTCCTCATTGAGGTCTTATAAGCTTGAGCATGCCATGTTGAGGTCTTATAGAGGTATTGCCTCATTGAGGTCTTATAAGTTTGGGCATGCCTTGTTGAGGTCTTACAGATTCGATGCTGCCTCACTGGGGTCTTACGAGCTCGAGTTTTTGATGGCTTCGATAAGCTGACCGTCGATGACAGTCCCCGAGTGTTTGAGGATTTTTGGCCCTTGAGCCGTTTTGCATGACAGTAGTAAATAACATTTTGACAAGCAGAGAGGCTTCTTTGATTACTTGATATATGTGTACATGTTCTTGCCTTCGAATGCTCGATTATTTTAAATGGACACGGTTCATTTGACCGTTTGGCCCAATACAATTTTTCCCTATTGAGGTCCCCCTTAGGCGTAACTCGATTTTTTCAAAATGATATCCTCCGAGGGGGATGACCTCCAGTATTCGAGGTTGATCGAAAACAAGCCTTGAATACTTGATGAGTTCTCCTTAGGTAGCATATGGATGTTTCCTCGTTAAAAACCTCGCCGGTAAAACCCGTTTAGGATAAAACCCGGTCTAAGGGAAAAAGAGCGCAACGCATGCTTTAAAACCCAAGGTCATCGAGCTGGAGGGTGCTTTGATTCCTCTCAATCAAACACCTGCAATAAGTTAGTATACAACATAAATGAAAAGGGAGAAAGTTATACCTTAGCAATAATAGCGTTTGAGCATCGATATGTTCCAATTGCTTGGAAATTGCTCGCCTTCCATGGTGCCAAGTTTGTAGGACCCTTTGCCTACTACTCCGAGGACGCAGTACGGTCCTTCCTAGCTTGGGCCTAGCTTCCCTTCATTTGGTTTTCGAGTGTTGAGGGTAACTTTCCTTAGGACTAAGTCCCCGATTCCGAAGTATCGGAGGTTTGTTCTTCTGTTATAATATCTCTCGATCCTCTGCTTTTGGGCGGCCATTTGGACTAGTGCATCCTCGCGCTTTTCATGTAGTAGCTCGAGGGCAGTAATCATGGCCTTGTTGTTCGAGTCCTTGGTGGCATGTCGAAATCTGGTGCTTGGCTCTCCGACCTCGACTGGTATCATAGCCTCGGACCCGTATACCTAAGAGAACTGTGTCTCTCCGGTGCTTGACTTTGAAGTTGTTCGGTATGCCCATAGTACTTCGGGCAATACCTCTCTCCATTTTCACTTCACATTTTCTAACCTCTTTTTCAAGTTTTGGATGATCGTCTTGTTCGTAGACTCGGCCTGTCCATTTGCACATGGGTGATAGGGTGTTGATAGGATCCTCTTGATTTTGTGATCTTCGAGGAATTTTGTTACCTTGCTGCCTATGAACTGTTTCCCATTATCACATGTAATCTCGGAGGGTTTCCCGAATCGGCATATGATGTGGTCCCAGATGAAGTCAATGACTTATTTTTCTCTTATCTTCTCGAAGGCCCGTGCTTCCACCCATTTCGAGAAATAGTCAGTCATAAACAGAATAAATCTAGCTTTACCTGGCGCCGTTGGGAGGGGGCCGACAATGTCCATCCCCCAATTCATGAACGGCCATGGTGATAAGACTGAATGTAGCTGTTCACCGGGTTGGTGAATCATCGGCGCAAACCTTTGGCATTTGTCACACCTTCGGACGAATTCCTTGGTGTCCTTCTCCATGTTGTCCCAATAGTTGCCGGCTCTGATCACCTTTCGAACCAAAGAATCGGCGCCAGAATGATTTCCACAAGTGCCCTCGTGGATTTCTCGAAGAAAAATTTGGGAATTGATAGCCGTCTGGGGTTAGTACTCGATATCATACCCTCCGAACTCGATGGCCCATTTGGCCAATCTGCCCGATAATTCAGGTTTGTGCAACATGTTCAGAGAGGGTATGTTGTTAAAATGCATATACGATGGCATTGAAAATAAGGTTTTAATTTTCGAGATGCACTTATTAACGCAAGAGCTAATTATTCTAAGTGTGGATACCTGATTTCAACATCTCCTAGAGTCTGACTCACGTAATAAATAGGGAATTGCGTATCTTGTTCTTCCCGAACCAGCACACTACTTACCGCTACCTCGGATACGGCCAGATACAAGTACAACATTTCATCTTCCTTCGGGGTGTGGAGCAAAGGCGGGCTTGAGAGATACCGCTTTAATTCCTCTAAAGCATGTTGGCATTCCGGAGTCCACTCAAAGCTGTTTTTCTTCTTGAGCAAGGAGAAGAAATGATGACTCCGATATGATGATCTCGAGATGAATCGGCCCAAGGCCGCTATCCTCCCGGTCAGCCGTTGTACGACCTTCACATTGTTCACCACTGTGATTTCTTCAATGGCCTTGATTTTGTCGGGGTTGATCTCGATCCCCCTATTTGACACCATGAAGCCTAAAAATTTGCCCAATCCTACTCTGAAGGCACATTTCTCGGGGTCGAGCTTCATGTTGTAGCTTCTAAGGATATCGAATGTTTCCTGCAAATGAGTCAAATGGTCCTCTGCGCGCAGGGACTTAACTAACATGTCATCAATGTAAACTTCCATAGATTGGCCTATTTGATGTTTGAACATCTTATTAACTAGGCGTTGGTACGTAGCTCCTGCGTTTTTTTTAGCCCGAAGGGCATTACATTATAATAGTACGTACCATACTTCGTGATGAACGAAGTCTTTTCCCTGTCCTCTGGGTTCATTTGAATTTGATTATACCCGGAGTAGGCGTTGAGAAAAGTGAGGATCTCGTGGCCGGCCGTGGCATCGATCAAGCGATCGATGTTGGGCAATGGGAATGAGTCTTTGGGGCATGCTTTATTCAAGTCTTTATAATCTACACACATTCTTCATTTATTTCCTTTTTTGGGAACCACTACCACATTAGCCAACCATTCCGGGTATTTTACCTCCCTAATTGATCCTATTTTAAGGAGTTTTGTTACCTCGTCTTTGATGAACACATGTTTTACCTCGGATTGAGGCCTCTTTTTTTGCTTTACTGGTTTGAACCTAGGATCGACACTTAGTCGATGGGTGGTTATTTCCGGCGGGATCCTTGTCATGTCTAAATAGGACCAAGCAAAGCAATCAATGTTGTTAATAAGAAATTGGATGAGTTTTTTCCCGAGTTCGGGGGTTAACCCCGTTCCCAGGTATACCATTTGATCTGGAAGATTCTCGATCAGGATGGCCTGTTCGAGTTCTTTGACCGTTGATTTCGTTGCATCTGACTTCTCGGGGGCAAGGTCCGAGGGGTGAGTAAGTCTTCTTTGTCATCTTCGTTCGAATGCTCACAGACCGCCTGTTCCTCGGGGGTCAGCCTGTTCCCTAACTCATCCTGAACGGGGAGGGCCGATGTTGGTGTCATGTCGTTTACCGCGAACATCTCCTTAGCTGCATGTTGTTCTCCGTGCACTGTTTTTATACCATCTTTTGTAGGGAACTTCATCATCTGATGAAGAGTTGATGGTACCGCCTCATGTTGTGAATCCACGGTCTTCCAAGTAAGGCATTGTACCTCATGTAACCTTCGATGACATGAAACTTGGTGTCTTGCACTGTACCGGACACGTTGACTGGGAGGATGATTTCTCCATTCTTTGTCTCGCTTGCCATGTTGAATCCATTGAGAACTTGAGAGGTTAGTACGATCTGATCGAGCAGTCCGAGCTGCTCCACCACCTTCGACCTGATTATATTGGCCGAGCTACCTAGATCCACGAGCACATGTTTAATTTGAACGTTATTCAAAAGAATAGAAATTACCAGTGCATCATTATGTGGTAGGGACAAGGCCTCGATGTCTTCTTTTCTAAATGTAAGGGCATCCTCATGTATATAATTCCGAGTTTGCCTTTCCGTTGCAATGGGCACTTTGGCCCGTTTGAACATGGGTCTCTGTGGGACATTGGTTCTTCCAACGATCATATGAATGATGTGCTGAGGTTCTTCTGGTCCATTCTTTCCGTTCGCCTCTCTTTCTCGAAAGCGGTCCTTGGCTCGATTGTTGAGGAATTCTCGAAGGTGCCCTTCGTTAA